CATACAGATCCTATATATGTGGCCTTGAGCCCCCAGCATATTCTATTATTACAATACTATATAGGTGGCCTTAAGCCCTCGTCATACAGATCCTATATATGTGGCCTTGAGCCCCCAGCATACACTATTATTACAATACTATATAGGTGGCCTAAGGCACCCGCCATACACATACTATATGTGGCATTGGGCCCCCATCATACACTATTCTATTATTACAATTCTATATATGTGGCCTTGAGCCCCCAGCATACACTATTATTACAATACTATATAGGTGGCCTAAGGCACCCGCCATACACATACTATATGTGGCATTGGGCCCCCATCATACACTATTCTATTATTACAATTCTATATATGTGGCCGTAGGCCCATGTCATACAAAAACTATATATGTGGCATTTATAGGGACCCCAGCATAATTGGGACCCCAGCATACACTATTATTACAATTCTATATAGGTGGCCTTATGCCCCCGTCATACACATACTATATATGTGGCCTAGCTTGTGCCCCCGGCATACACTATTATTACAATACTATATAGGTGGCCTTTTGCCCCCGTCATACAAATACTATAATTATATGTGGCCTTGGGCCCCCATCATACACTATTTGATTATTACAATTCTAATAGGTGGCCTTAGGCCCCCGTCATACAAATACTATCAAGAGCATATAAAGAAGGCTGATCAATAATACTGCAAAGAGTCGTCAAAATAAAACGGGGAAAGTTTATTAATTCAACTAATACTGCAACATGGTTTCAGCATCTTACCGTTGTACGCTCTCCTTCTTATATGTCACTCGCTCTTGATACTATATATGTGGCTTTGGGCCCCCATCATACACTATTATTACAATTCTATATAGGTGGCCTTAGGCCCCCGGCATACAAATATAACGCCGGCAACATTATAACGTGCTACCAATAACTTACTGAGTGCTGCACTGGCGCTTGTCTTGTTTTTTCCTATGTAATGCTATATCTATGCCTATGGGTAATACAATCGGCATATACCATGGTAATTTGTTTTAGCATTACTAAAATACGTAAACAAAAAGAAGTATTTTCGGTCGTGGAAGGGTTATTGTCGGAGTGAGCTGACAGGGGCTGGAGGCCACCGGCGGGCGACGACGTGGCCTAAATTCCCCGGGGCCTAAATTAAGCCACACTTGGATCTGGATATCTGTCGCCTGCAATTCTCTATTACTGCTCCCTCATTGTCACGTTATCTCTCTCTCTCTCTCTCTCTCTCTCTCTCTCTCTCTCTCTCTCTCTCTCTCTCTCTCTCTTTCTTCTTTTTTCTCTCTCTCTCTCTTTCTTTCTTTTTTTTTCTCTCTCTCTCTCTTTCTCTCTCTCTTTCTTCTTTTTTCTCTCTCTCTCTCTTTCTTTCTTTTTTTTTCTCTCTCTCTCTCTTTCTCTCTCTCTTTCTTCTTTTTTCTCTCTCTCTCTCTTTCTTTCTTTTTTTTTCTCTCTCTCTCTCTTTCTCTCTCTCTTTCTTCTTTTTTCTCTCTCTCTCTCTTTCTTTCTTTTTTTTTCTCTCTCTCTCTCTTT